AATATAATTTGCAAAACATAATTTACATAAAACAACTTATGATAACTCAAAATATAATAAAACTCATCTTAACATTGATTCATACTATTTATTTTCTATTTCCTCTGATTCTCCGAGCCTTTACTATTTTGTGTTGCCTTTGTTTATTACCTCACCCCTTTATGTACTTGGCCAAAGTGTTTATGCCTCTAAGCCGAATTTTCCCTTAATCATTACCTTCACAGGTGGCATATTTTAGATGCCTCCAGCAATGTCCTCTTAAAGCATTTATCCAATAGGTTACTAGACTTATCTAACAGGCTAAACTTATCTTATTAGTGCCACCTGTAAATTTCTTGTTAAGTAATTATACTTGGGCCCGAATAATATAATATTACATCATTATCTTTTGATAACATACAATGATCCCTAATTTTAAATTAAATTACATTTTATCACATATAACTATAAAATTAAATATTCTTTTCCAAGTGTCAATTTAACTATTTTTTTATAAGGTAACTAATTTAGCTTAAGGTATTCAAAAATAGATTATCGTATAATTTTCGTAAAAGGTATTATTCAGGGTGTTACACATAGTCTTCCTCTTGAGCTTCTTCAACATATGGTTAGGACTCAACATTTTGAAGCCTGCAGAAGAATAGATGATTGCATATGGTGTTATCTTTGGGGCATTGCTATTGTCTGCATTTTTGCTTGAAGTTTGGAAGAAGTTCCCAAGAGATGGAAAGATTGGTGGAGAACATGAAGTCAATAAATCTGATAATACAAACCCATAAAATAATGTGTGATATTCTATGGATGTAGTTGAGGGAATGATTATCTTACAATATCTCTTGGATTGGAACCTTCTGATTATTTGAATTCAAATGTTTGACTATTACATTTTAAAACATTTTCTTGCATAATGTTTTCGGCACTTAATTTGATTTAAGCATTTTCTTTTATACAGTGTGATGGTTGTTTTGCATCAATTCTGTTGAAGAGATTGACATTATGGCTATGCAAGTAGTAGCTTCATTCCACTGTAATTTTTGTTGGTTAGTTAGGTACCCACCATGGTCAGGTTGACTGCTCTTGTCAAAGAAATACATTGTGTTTGTTTCTCATCATGTTGTGAATTAATAAAGGGATGTGAGCAATAAGTGTTGTAGTTTGAATTGGGTTAGCTTTCCCTTTATTCCTTTCCCCTGAATGCTTTAAAAATATATATATATATTTATGAACAAAAATGTTGTACTTGAACATTGATTAGTCACCTCACATATTGGCCTCTCTGTTGCCTCCTAATCCATGATTATTCTGAATTTTAGATTTCGAAATTTAATCTTTCTAGCACCATCAAGACATCTTATGAAGAGTTAATAATCAAATAATAGTTAACCGAATTATGAGCCTTCACCCAAAATGCAATCAAACTGCCATTAAGCCATTCTTTTACATCGTTCTTTTGAGACAACTTAGCATATATTGTCAATTTGGGGTAGAGCACAACAATCAGTGCTTCTCTGGGTTCAAGATGTCAAATCCCCTGAATATGTTGATGATGCTAAGGTTGATGGCCATGAGTATCCAACAAAGTGGTGGTAGACATGCATGTATAATCTGTATTTGATGACGCTAAGGTTCATGGTCATGTAAATCTTGTGTTCTTGTTTGTGCATGTGATTTACAAATATTGGTTTTTTTTTTTTTTTTTTTTTTTTTTTTTTTATGTGATTTACAAATATTTGGTTTTTTTTTTTTTTTTTTCTCTCTCACCCTTCTATGTTTATTTCCGGATTCCTAACATTAATATTTTTTGTCATTGGAATTTTTGCAAGTAGTTAGACATTAATTTTATAGTTTTATGTTTAGTTTGCTTAAATGCTATGCTTTATAGTTGTAGATGCTATTTAGAAGAATATTTGATGTGGAGTTGTTGTGAGTTGATAAACCTGTGTGCAATGGGTACAAGGATTCAAACATGTTGTCACTTGAATGGGTTATGTTTTGTGATCTGCTTTTACTTTGTTGCCCCTCTGCACTCCCCTCTCCCCAAGAACTTGTGTTATTTGTTCTGTTGATAATGCCTCTTGGTCTTTTGATGGCAAGGTATGTAAAAGGGTATTTGAATCTACCTTCATATCAACTCAGTTATTAATCGGTCCCTGATTTAGATATGATTATTTGAAATTTCTATCTTTAGAAGCTAGCTTAGGCATTACACATCTGCACGACTTCAATCAAACTCTTTTGGGTAAGTGGTTGTGGAGGTTTACTACCGAGAACAGATGTTTATAGAGGAGAGTCATACATTCTATTTATAGGACTGAGATGGGGGTTAGACCTCCGAGCTTTGAAATTGATATTAAGTTGGTCTTTGGAAGGGGATAAGGAAAGGGAGGGTGGGAAGATTTTAATAGACATTTGTGCTTTGCCATTGAGGAATAGAAGAAGAATTGAGCATTGGAAAGATATATGGTGTAAGGATACCTCTCTGATGAGGACCTTTCTAGAATTATATCATATTGTAGATGACAAAGAAGCTTTCGTGTGAGACTATTAGATGTTGTTGATGAACTTTTAGAGCTTCTATGTAGTGTGGGATATTGATTGAAATGGGGAGAGTGTGATGAGATGGTGGGTGGAAATGGCAAACCTTTAGGTAATTCTTTCCACAAAAGGAAGTTAGCGACATGGAAAAAGAAGTTATCATCCTTGGGTGGAAGGCTTGCCTTGATTAAAACTTCCTTCTCAAACCTGCTTGTATGTTATGTCATTTTGAAAAATTGTAAAATAATATTTTGTGGACTGAACAGAGCACCTTTAAAGATTTGTTACAAAGTAACCTTAGACTGAATATAGGTTATGCCTCATCTATAATTTTTTGGTCTGATGTATGGTTTGAAAATTCATCTTTGAGTAAGTGTTTTCCAAGTCTGATTTTGCTATCTACTCGAAAAGAGGAAACAATGGCAGAGTTGTATGAAAATTGAATAAGAATTACACTCTCTATTAAGGCGGATTCATTTCAATGGAGGGCTGACAATGATGGTAAGCTCACAGATTTAAGTCTTTTTGCATAAATTGCATAAATCAGTATATTCACCAAGAATTCAAGTTATCTATTGGTTGGCACTATGCATTACTTGAAAGAATTGCATATTACCTACTAATACAAGCTTAGTTTACTGCTAATCATTTAGTGCTGGTATGATGGGACTTAAGACTTGGTTTGGTTTGGTAAGGTAACATAACTTGCAGAATTTGCAGTGAAATTTTGGAATTCAAGTTTTTTGTTTTTATCCTTTGCCCTGAATGATTAAAAAAAAAAATTAAGAACAAAAGTGTTGTACTTGAACATTGACTAGTCACCTCACATGGCACCCTCTTTGCTGCCTCCTAATCCATGCTTATCTTGATTTCAGATTTCCAAAATTTAATCTTTCTAATACCATCAATAGATCTTATGAAGAGTCAATAACCAAATAATTGTTAACTAAATTATGAGCCTTCACACAAAATCCTATCGAACCAACATTAGGCCTTCTAAGGTTGGAGAGCAAATCCAATAATCACTTCTCCACTGTTTAACAAAACATGAGGGTATCCATACTTCTATAATTTTCTACTAAAACTCTTCTCGTAAATGAATTCTCTTCCATCCCAAACCTCCAAAATTATTATTATTTTCCCTCAAGGTTGATTTTGAAAAACATTGGTTAACATTTGATTGCTCGTGGTTTCTACAATGTGAATTTTCATCCAATTCATTTAAATTAGTTTATATTCAAATTTTCATGGCAATTTTGAAAGCCTGGATTTTTGTTTCATTATGTTGGCTGAATTTTAGAAATAACCAGTAGACTTCATCATTACAATAAAAAACTATACAATATCCATTTTCCTGATTTTTGTCTCCAAATATATATGAATTTCACTGAATATCTTCACTTTTTGGCTGGATTTTTTCCTTCAAATATTGACCAATTTCAAATCTGATCAACTGTTTTCAATATGAAATTCAACAAATTTTACTACAATTCACTGGATTTTAAATCCTTGTCTGGGATGAAGTAGTCAAGCTAACCATGTATTTTGGTGTTTTGGGTATGCAATTGTAACATAAACTAGCTTTTCCAATGCTTGAGTTCAATATGATGCTTTTTCTTGGTAAGAAAAAGCAATGCATGGATTTTATAATCAAACTAAAGGAGTTGGGAATTTAGGGCAAGAGCACATTTACAGTAGAACCATTAAATGGCACATTTGACGGTCATGACTAAACAAGAAGCTGTAATTTTTTCATGGTTGATAAAGGGGTATAAAGGAGCTACAGAGGGTGACGTCAATCTAAATTTTGATTTTTTGGATTCTATGATCAAATCTAAGAAGTTGTAATTAGGGGCATCGATAGAACTGTTGCTCAAAGCACACTGCTGGAAATCGGATTTTTAGTGGCGTTTAAAAAACGCCGCTATATCTATCAAAAACGCCGCTAATTCCTTTTGCGACGTTTAGTACCAAACGTCGAAGATGCGGCCGTCGCTATAACTCTATGGCGCTTTAAAAACGTCGCTATATGACAATAGGCGGCGTTTATAAAAACGCCGCTAAAAGTCCTCCTAACGGTAACATGACGTCCCCATGCTGTTTAGCGACGTTTTTAAAACGCCGTCATAATTCTGATGATATTTAACGACGTTTTTAAAAACGCCGTGGTAGCCCCTTCTTTTTTTTTTTAAAAAAAAAAACTGTGCTAATTTTATGTTATTAAACTAAAAAAATACCTATAATAAAACTGAAAAATAACACTAATATGAAATAATAACTCCCATTCACATAATAAAAACTTATCAAATGATAGTTCACAATGGTTGTGCAAAAAAAAAACTTTCACACACAAATCATTTAAATGACATTAAGGAGTCACAAAAATTGGATGCCCCTCTATTTGAGCCAAAATAGGAATCTGAGTTCACCAATATACGAATACCTGTGAAATACAAGCAAAAAACACAATGAAACACCTGTTTAAAAAAGATTTTAGCTTCCAAAGAGTAAATTTTATTTCTTCTCTCCCACACACCTGCAGAGGGGTTTTGGGGAAGGAAGAAAGAGAAGAAAAGAAAAGGACAGTAGAATAATTACCTAGATAGATAGAATACGGACACTAGAATAATTTGTTATTTAAGCATCTACCTGTGAGCTGAGATAACATCTTGTATAATGTATCTGTCTAGCCAGTCAACATTCCCACACATATAATCAAAGATGATCCTTGACCTGAAGCACGCATTACTAGTCAAAAACATGAAAAATGATGCACCTTATATGACTAACATAATGAATATACAAATTCTTTTGGCTGACTTGTATGCCTTGAGAAAGTTAGGCATGTCAATCACAATTTAATTGAATCTTGCATTTGACTTGTTACATGATCCTGATACTGCATAGAAATCATAGAGCAACTAGATTGTAGCATGATCTAAAGGTCGTGCTCTGGACACCTAGCATTCATATTTCTTTTCTAGGTTGTGCCCGAGACTTCAAGCAGTTACATTGTTTTTGAAAACTATTCTCTAATTTAGGAAAATACGGATAACATGAAAAAGCATTGGTGATATGGTCCAAAGCTTCTTTTAGAGAGAAAAAGTGGCAAGGGTATTTTTAGAGTTTTGATGAATTATATTGACATTTTAGGAACTTGAGCTGATATACTGGAAGCAACCCAAATAGAAAAGTGCTGAAGATTTTTGCTTTTTCATTTTCAGCTTATGAGGTGGAATGTGGTAACTCTCACAGAGCGCTGTGGGATGCACTCACAGAAACAATAAACCAATTCAAGGAATTTCTAACACATGTATTCAATTAGTTCATAAAGATAAAATTCCAATGGTGTCACATAAGAAAAACTGACAAAACCAGACATACCAACTCAATTGGTCACCAAACAAAATATATACTATGACCAGAAAGGTACAAAAAACTGTCAAAAATAAGTAAACCACAGAAAATAAGAAATCAAGCCAAAAAAGTTGGATCCAAATGCTAAGAATACTACCAAATCCAGATTTTGATATTTTGTCACATTTCCATGTTATAGTCATTGCACCACACACCAAAAGAAAACTTGTCACCATCACATGCTTAACCCTGCAAATAGCACAAAACGTAAAAAAACACATGCCCTCTAGACTTCCCGGTATCTCTATCAGTAATTACCTTTCCTGTGCACCAAAACTACTGACAGTTTCAGCATCCAAACACTACCATAGTCCCATAACAACCCATAGCAGCCTTCTTATTTTATTTTATGAAACTTTTTTATTTTGGAATTTTGAAGAGATACATTAACCCTTACTAGTTAGTTTGTGCCGAAACACACACAGGGATTACCACCAGTTTATACACAACACATATAACCCTCAATTTGAATTTTTTAGATCAAAGGTCTTAGGTTCAAGTTCCGTTCGCCTCATTATATAATTTTGTGTTTAAATAATTGTTGTAGAAGTATGTTGAAAAAATCCAAAATATGAAATGTAGACATCATGAGAAGCCTTCACTTTATCCAAAAAAATTTATCACAAATCCAAACTTTAACCAGTGTCCCACTAACCCAACCACTCGATCAAAAGATCCAAGCAACTTAAGTATTTAAGCTTATAAGTTTAATTTATAAAATTAATCCATTGCAAACCAAGTCTAACCCCTTTGCAATATTATTCTAAGTGAATTGTAAGACAAATTATTTTCCATTCTCTTTATGTATCATAGTATCACTACTACATCAATCTTTGTGAAGGATTCTTGATGAAAAATTTGAAGAATAGCCACAAAAGCATTTGGTTCAATTCTACCCAGGACCATTAGGTTACCAACATGGAACACAAGGGGCTGCTGATACAAAGAACCTTGCCTAACATGACAAAAGTTGGGAAGGGGTGAATCTCATTTAGCATGACTCCAATATTATAATTAGTACCTTTCTGCAGTACCAAGGCATGCAAGGAACAGTGTCCAACCACATAACAAAAATCTGTGACAAATGTGCAACAAGATTGAATCAAATGGAATTGAAGTATATCTTCTCAGGCAACTATAACCACAAGAGTAATTAATTAAATACTAGCATATATGAAAAATTATCAAGAATATTGTCAACTACTAAAAAGGATGAAACTATGAACGGATTAACAGAAAAAGATGAGCAGAGAGGGAAAATTATAGAAGTATTACCGGTACCCATGATTCATCATTTTCAACATGTCCATGATTCTGATGGTGAGTTCTGTGGCTAATTCTCCTGTAATTATATATCAGTCATATGCACAAACACCATTTCTTCACAAACTCAATCTAGACAGATATACAAATATCAGAATAAAAGAGTTAAGATTAAGAACACACCATCCATGATAAGGCACAAGAATTGACGAATGCAGGAGATGTCCAACAACACTGTTCAACAAAGAGATGTTGGAAAAGCTTCCATGGCCACTGCAGATTCAAAAAAAAAAAAAAAAAACACACACACACACACAAAAATAAGCCTTCAAATTTAATTTCCAAAAAAAAAAAAAACAAACACAAACACAAAAATGAGCCTTCAAACTTAATTTCCAAAACAGGAATTGTTAGCATGTTGTGTATATTACCAAACATGACCAAGAACAAACAGTGCCCAAAATATTGTCCCCTGGGCAGCCCAGTAAAAAGGCTAAACAACCCAACTGTCAAAGAAATTTGCCAATGCAGCTAATCCAAAAACCACAATAACATCCCTAATCACATAATTAATAGATCGCCACGAGTTCTTGACCCAGCAGTGGCTAGGAATGGCACCTGAGCCAATAAAAATAAGCATCATTAACAAAAGAAAACACAAAGCTAGAAACTATTCTCATAAGGCAGCACTTTTGAGTGCATCAGGTTGGAACTGGGACTTTATAAGAAGGATCAATCATTTTCAAGATCCTTTGTCACCTCTTGATACTCTATCATAAGGAAAATCACAAAAAATATAAATAAATATGAAATTTAAAATTTAATGAACAAAATAATTCATGGTAAGCAAAGAAATGTTGTCCAACTGAAAATAAATAACATCCAGATCCCAATTGCACCCCCCTTCCACCCCAAAAAAAAAAAAAACAAAAACAAAAACAAAAACGAAATAGCAGCAGCAGAAAATATCTAGCACTTTCAGTACATCAACTCACCACAATTCTTCATCCAAACAAGTAATTTCCAGCTCACCTCAAGCTCTTCATTCAAACATGGCAAGAAGGCATTGGCCTGGTTGTCAATTGGAGTTTTACCAGAGGTCTCAAAACTTATTTTCATTCATTTTAAGTCTTTAGCTTTTTGTCATTATACCCTCGATGGGATTGTATAATTCAACTTATTGTCTTGAGAGACCCCCTGTAAATTATCATAAACTCATTGTCTTATTGTCCTGGTAAGCTTATTTTTTGGGCATCAAAAGGTCTTCTTTGACCTAATGCTTTTAGATAGTGGTATCTAAAGACCTAATGGTATCGAATGATACGTATCAGCAATATCGAATAATATTAGGAGTATCAAAATACGTATCGAAAACTAACCAATGTAAATGAAATTTTTATTTCAACCAATACCAAAATGTATTGATATTGAAAAGACAAAAACTGATACGTTTGCACCCATGGAGACTCCAGTAGTTATATTAAAAAAAAAAAAGTCATTCATTTCATGTTCTTTCCACCTCTGAATTGTATATGAAAGTATTTTAGTAGTTGTTGGAAAGGCCAATGCCTAAATGTTCTAGCAAATGGCAGCCACATGTTTATAAACTTCTCATCATCATAAACTCTTTACTCCATCACCACACATACACACACACACAGTACATATATAATTAATATAGAGGATGTTTGTGTGGATATATTAATATTAGGCTGCAGGTGAACCACAGGCTTGAAACATAGCCACTACATATTGTCTGCTAGTCTTCATGATACTGCTCTGTCTCTGCCCTTTTGTTATAAAACTAATTGTAATGGCCATGTGATGTTTTTAGCAATAAGGCACCACCTAAATATAGATCACCAAGAAAAAAAAATTCTAGATCATAGATCTAATCTTTGACACTTGCCCTTATATTTGAATCTTCAATCTCAAAGTTAATAACTCAAATTTTAACTACTAAATTAATAACTCCTATAAATATAAGAAAATTGTTATATATCACCAATTTTTTGTTACTGCCCTCTTACATGAACAGTTATGATTGATTTTTTTTGTTTGGAGATAATTATTAAGATATTAATGAAAACAAATAATAATGATACATAAGGGTGAAAAAAAGAAAATGTAATATAACAGTCCTCTTTTTATAATACCAAGAGCTAAGCGAAGAAAGAATGAAAAAACAAATACAAACAAGTTAAACAAACAACAAAGATTTTAGTCATCTTTGAGAGCAAGAAATTTCTTCGGATACTTCAGGATTGGTTTAAAATTTTGCCTCCACAAATGGCCAAAAATAATAATAAAGAGTAATGTTAAACGATAATAATTTTTGCACAAAACTTTCATAGATATGATGTGGTCGTTCATTTTAAACTAAAACAACCATCCATCATTGTGGCTCGTACTTTTAAAGATGCCAAGACACATGATTTTTACTCGCGATTGATTCGTTTGGAAGTTCACTTGAATAGTTCATTGACATGAAAATGTCAATTCAATCATATTATGCAACTCATAAATTAGCATGTAACATTATAGAGATGTTAGGAACTGACTTCAATATTTGTTCATTAGTTCCCCTGCTTACTGTCCACGATGATGGACAAGTTAGGAACTGACTTCAATATTTGTTCATCAGTTCCCCTGCTTACTAACATTATAGAGATGTTTGCTGTGTTTTTGTTATGTGTTTTAGGTTGTAAATAGAATCAGTGAACAGATCATAGAGGAACTTCAGTTTGATGAAATACCAGAATCAATGTCAAGGGGTATTATTGGATTAAAAAGTTATTTACAGCGTTAATATTGTTTCTATTTCCCTCACGTTCTATCACTTTCATTCTAAAGAAACTGTAAGGAGAATAATATACTTTGACTATTGAGTCATGCTAATCACAACTTAATGAATTGTTAAAAAAAATATCAAAAAATTTAAAATCTCACTAATACAACTTCTACACATTTTAAAATATTTTCCTACACTTTATAGATATTTTATGCATCTACCAATATTATTTACAGCCCTTTAGATTACCATTAGCATTTTCCAAAATAGCTTAGTCATCTAACTTCTTTTGGGGTGAATGTTAAATGAGCTTCATCATCACATACACTGAAATAAAAATAAAAATGAAAGGCTAAAGAATTTCAATGAAGTCAGTTTTAATTGAAATTATGAGGAAACAAGTGCAGTGAATTACCTCTCTGGGCATAAGAGTTTTTGGAATCACTCTGCCAAAAAATAAATAATGGAGTTTATGAGTGGAGAAGAGAGTTTTTGGAATCACTCTGCAAAAAAATAAATAATGGAGATTATGAGAGAGAGAGAGAGAGAGAGAGAGAGAGAGAGAGAGAAATTACCCTAAGACGTGGCGGCCACCATCATAGACAGCTTGGGAGATTAGACCCATCAACCCAACGCTCCCTCCTCCATACCCAAAAAAAAAATTATATCAATTACCATAGATATTATTAAAGTACTACATTGAATTTAAGTTAACCATGTGAATTCATGCAAGAAAGTCACAAATTTAGTTGGTGGAGTCTATGTGACCTTGGTGTAGGGGTTAGAAATACTATATGCTAAAACATTTTTAACCAACTGAGGTTAGTAATACTGTTATCTTCAATCATTTTAAATACTTAACCATATCGCAAATTAGTTATCCCATCAAATTCCCCAGTCCTCTAGCAGTTGGAATTACTAGCTCAAAGATCAATAATCAACCTAGAAATTCCATCAACTCACAATCTACTGAATTAAAATAGCAACAATTAAGTTTTACATATTTCCAAACTAATATTTATCGTAGTATTAGTTATTTGTTTGTGTCACAATTCCAGCTTCGGATCGGTCAACCTGTAAGTCATCAGATTAGACAATGCATCAAACAGTGAACTCAAATGCTACGACAGATAGTTAACCTCCCTGATTTTCTTTCGATGAGCTGATTTCCAAAAGCCAAATCCAATGGTGAGCAGAACAGTAATAGCATATTAGAAAGTTTCAATAATTCAACCACCACCACCACCACCACCAAGAATCAAATTCATCTAACAATAATTCCAAGAAGTAAGAATGATAAGTTCCTTGATATTGAAACAGTACTAATGTGATCAAAAACTCAAAATGTACATATTCAACTCCACGGGACATCCAAATCAAACACCAGTTTCGAGCTAAAGAGAAACTACAGCCGACTAATAGCATGTACATATGCAGTCAAACGAAAGGACAATTTGTCTACATGAACAAAGCGAGAAGGGGAAGAGAGAGATAGAGTACCGATTAAAGTTCAGAAACAAAGTAGGTTATTCGCCGCCATCGGAGCTTGAAATGCGAGTAATCGAGGGGTCAGAGTTCAGATCTGAGCTTCTGGAAATCACTGAATCTCTGCAAATGAGACGGTAGAGCTCGCTACCTCGCTGGTGCAGCTTCGAAATCGCTTCGATGGAGCTTCGATCTGAATCTTTGATGGAGCTTCGAAATTGCTTCGATGGAGCTTCGATTTGAATCTTCGATGGAGCTTAGAGAGGGTTGAGAGGGAGCGAGAGATGTGTGCGAATAAGGGTTGAGCGAGAGAGAGTTCTGAATCTTCGATCGAAATCGTTTTGCGTAATATAGAGAGGGTTCTGATTCTTTTGCGTAATATAGAAAGGGTTCTGATTCAAAAGAAGGTTTCACAAAAGAGGCGCGTGTGGCTACCGCATTTGGAGGCGGTTTTAAGCGCCTCCTATTATAAAACGGTGTGGTTTTGTTTAATAGAATATGCGGCGTTTATAAAACGCCGTTAAATGTTAATAATAGTGACGTTTAGAAAAACGTCATTAAAAAAACGCCATCATAACCCTTTTTTCCTGTAGTGGCACTAAGATGGCACATTTGATGACCGCAACGGAAAAGGAAGCTGTGATTTCTTCAGGAGTGACAAAAAGAAATGGATAAGGAGGCAGACGACAATTTGAATTTCAATATTTTAGATTCTACATTGGATGAAGGCATTACATAAATGCATAACGCATTGAAAAGAAGGAAGATTGAAAGATTTAAGGTGGAAAATATGGTATGGGGAAAAGTCACATCACAATTGTGGTGGCCAAGGAAAATATTTGATGAAGCTTTAGCTTTTCCATTAGCCCGTAATACGAAGGAAGTGGGTTATGTGTTGGTTGCATTTTACGGTGATAGTACATGTCAATTGTTTAAACTAGTAAAACTCATTCCTTCTGACATTCACTATTCAAAGAAATAACTCATACATTTTTAATTGCCGTTGTGGAAGCTAGACGAGAGAGTTGCACTTGCCTTGACTTCTTGTCATGGAACCCCAACAAATTTTGCCTTACAAATGTCCTTTGAAATGGATGTGATCAGGCTTGAGCTAGGCGGTGTGTATTTAGTGAAGCAGATAGGAAGTGCTAGAGATAGTTTCCAAAACCTTTTTGTGATACAAGGCAAGAGGGTGAAGTATTAAATAGAAATTTGACTATGCAAAAATTAGTTACATAGTATATTTGATGCACCTGCCATGTACGCTTTATTGCTATTTGCTACAACAAGTATTTCAAGTAACATAGCATGAATGCATGCAACACATTCACAATTATAATGCATAATTATGTCTCACATTGGATGAAGGCAGAGAGGGAGACATCAATTTGGATTTTGATTGTTTAGATTCTATATTGGATGAAGGCACACACTTAGAAATGCTTTGTAACGCCCTCAAAATATTGACATCTAATATATCTAGATTTACTCATAGGCATAATCCAAATCTCATTACTTCTCATTATTACATACAAGAACATTGAATAATATAGACATTTCAATAGTCAACATTCATACTAAATCACAATTTTTCTATTAACGATATCCAACGTGAGATTTCACAAAAGAGAGACCGCTTGCATTAATACATTCATCATTCTTAAGATATAAATTTTATGGCATGTGATAATAACAAGTTAAAGCAACAAAATACAAATTAATGCCTTAAAGGCTACAAGTTCCAAGGCCTTGCCTGGTTACAACAAAGTGGTTTTCAAACCCATACATAGATAGCCCTTGGCTTGCAAAGAAAACAAAACAAGTAAATAATTGAGCCTTGTGCTCCAAAAGATCCTCTACGCCTTCACTTCGGCGGAGGCACACCACAATCAGTTGAAAAATGGTTTCCACTAAGGGATGAACATAAAACCTAGCAGAGATAATCTAAATAAAGTGCATGCATTTTAACAACATCATGATGTGCAATGCGTATGAGATGCCAATGCCAAAAATCATAGGTTTTCTCATTTTCAAAATTCTCATGCCATGCATTTGTTTAAAAGCATAACCAATTCAATCATCCATTTCATGGAACAAGGGGCGGTAAATACGACACTGGAAATTCCTAGCCTGGTGTCTGCAAGTAGGCATAACTAGCACTACCAAAACTCCACTTTACCGGTTGCTGACTGGAAGGGAAGTGGTACCTCCTCTACGCGTGTTTTCGGTCTTTCACCCTAGACACTCAAGCCAACTTAAACAATACCAATCTACAATCCCTATCCGGATTTACCAAACATATTTACCCTATAACTCAACATATTTTAAATATTCTCAATGAATCAATTTAAAAATCAATTTCTCAAATCCTATGCAAGAATTAAATCATGAGATTATGCAATGTTTAATACCATGCATGAATTTACAAAGATTTCAATTTACCTATTACACATGCAATTTTACAATAATCAATACAACCCTCCATGGTTGCCCAAACAATTATCTCTATACAAAATATAAATTTCAAAAAACGAACTCATAATCTCACATTTTCAATCATTTAAACATAGGAGTAACAATCAAATGTTTAATCTCCTCTTTCCCAACTCAATCAAGAATCATAATATTCTTTAAAAAAAAAAAAAAATTCATCAATCTTCCCTTTTTATTCAAACTCAAGAATTCATCGAGAATTCTCATAATGCCAAAATTAACAGACTTTTTATCGACAATTCTCAATACCTTAACATGACAAATATTCTCATCTTTCACAAAAGTTCAATATTTTCAAATTTAACAATTTTCAAAAGAAACCTCAATGGTTTTTCAATATTCCCAACAACATTCTCATTAATCTCATCCTTATAAACATCCACTTTCAAATTCTCATTTGTTCAAATAAACATATATTTTTAACTCTTGTAAGCTTTTCACAAACTCATCCCAAAAATCTAAATCTTAACATTTAAATTTTCAGGTTTTATTAAAATTTGGGGGTTTCTCAAAAATAAAATAAAACAGAATAAAATACATTCTTCAACATCCATGAGTCGTACAAAAACCAAACACAACTAGCCATGGATTTTCAAAAAAAGTTGAGAACTTTCCCCTTTTTATACATTTAATATACAAACCTTGATTTTTTCAAATATCACACTATCAAAATAACATATAATAAAGCTAAAACACATACACAATGTTTAGAAAATCCCTACTTCAAAAGCTAGAAGAGGAAACAAGTAAAAACCTCAATTTTCGACTTTGTCGGATTTTGATCTCCGCCAGTCAAAAC